TTGATACTGACAAAATTAATTTTTGTTTTAGAAAACTAAAACCCCTGAACTCAACATCATATTTTTTAAGTAATGTCCAATGTTTTTTTCTAAAGCCAAAAAGCCAGCCTTATTTCTAATAGCAGTATTTCATGAGCTAAACTCCAGTTCCTCATAATTCTACAACAAACTAGACTGTATTTGCTGGGTTTTTTCTATAGCTGGGATGAAAATTAAGAAATGGAGCAGTATCTAATAAAGTGTTCGCTAGTGTATTTACTTTTTTCAAATACAGAAATTATTTAGTGATGAATAAGATATATGAAAGTCAACAGTGTGACAGTAAGGCAGAATTAAAAATTACTGAAGATTAATTTAAATGGGATTTCCTACCATTCCCTCATGAATATATGAAATAAGACAAAATAAAAGTGATTTAGATTGAGAAGGTAGTGAGATATCATAGTCTTACAAAAATCAACATTCAAAAAGAGTTTGACTTATTAATTTTTTAATTAATTTTTATTCACTTTATTAACTTGGAGCATTTAAATTACCCATAACAGTAACATGCAAATCATTAAAATTGTTTCAATAGGATCAACATCTTTAGCAGTTTCAATATTCTCTGTGGCATTAAAGCCACTTTTGAAAAGCCATGTATGAAAAAAATATCAGCAGCATTTTGTTTGACTCTGAGGAAAATGGTATATATATCAAATTATATCAAATATGAGTGGCATAGTTAGAGCAGTTGTCACTAAAAGGGCTAAATAAGAAGTGAAATTTTAGAAATCAAATATTCTTACTTTTTATTATAATAGTTATCTGACAGTTATAATAAAATTAAAATATTATTGCACCTTTTTTTTCCTGGGTGCCAGTGAATTTAGAGTTGTACTTCATATATAGAACCAAAACTGAATGAGGGTAAGGTAAATAGTTACATGTGCCCTAAATACTTACCGTGTTTTAAGTTACTGCAAACCATAAAGGGTAATGTAAAAGACAAAAGCCCTGCAACATGTCAAAGCTGTGGCCCTAATCATTAAACATTATAATTTTTTGAAAGAGTTCAGAGACCTTGAAAGCACTATCTAATAATAATATCTATCTATATAATATCTAATATCTAATATCTAATATCTATCTATATAATATCTAATAATAATATCTATCTATATAATATCTATCACCTTTATTTCTAATTCTACAATTACATTTTAACTGCACTTGATTATTCTGGGATCCCCAAAACAGTATTAATCAGTCTAGTTAAGACTCTTTCATTTCACGACTCTTTTTAAATAATTTAATTACAAGACATGTGACTAAGAGAGGCAGCTACTTTTCTTCTTGAAAATCAGTAGTCTGATTGGCTCTTTTTTAATTTGCTTGATAAACACTTTAGTTAACACAGCTATGGTGGATTCGAAATCAGACAAAAAATAATGTATAGCAGAGACAGTAGCAGATATTCTGTGAGATTGTTGGCATAGTCAAAATCTCATTTTTAATCTGCAGCTTGAGGCAAACAGTAGCTTTCTAAAATTTATAGATCTGTATTAGGAAATAATCCTGGAGAGTGACACACAATTGTTTCCTTTAGTCTTTAAATGTTAAATTGAGAGAATCATGGAATAGCTCAGGAAAGAAGAGACCTCTGGTGGTCATCTAGTCTGATTCCTTTCTTGCAACAGGGTAAACCAGACCAGGTGGCTCAGGTTCTCTCAAATCAAAAAGTGAGTAGATATTCTTACATCTCCACCCATGATGCAGTGTGAGAGACTGGACTGGTATATCACTAGCTTGCTTAATTATTGTGTCAGATCTACCATCTTGTCTGTCTGTGTGTCAAGGGAGGGACCACAGTCAGGCCTGCAGCCTCATGGCAGTGTCAGGAGGCACATGGTCTGCAGCCAACCTGGTGGCCCAGAGTGCACACAGCAGTATCAGGAACCATGTGGCTGGGCTGTCAGTTGAGGAGGGTCCCTCTGGTAGCCCCCCCACACCATGCCCCCAGAGTCCCTACAGTACTCCTCACTTTGGCGAGGGGGACAGTGAGTGGTCAGGGGTCAGATGTCCCACCTGAGCGGGGTGGCCATATAAACATAGGGGCACAGGGTTCCATCTTGTCCTGCCTTCTCTCCCGGGATCTGCCACCTTGTGACCTCTTGGTGGTAATTTTTTCTCTCTCTTTTCTTCCTCTACTCTTTTCTTTCTCTTGTGGGTAACTTAAAACTGATCGGTTGTATTTCACTAAGCCAATAGTTGCTGATTGCTGGGTACCTTTGTGTAATGCTTCTCATTTGTTTGCTCTCCTGTAAAACCTTTTACCAAAACACCTATTTTTTCGCTAAATTAAAAGAGGCTATCTTGGTAAGCGATTGTAGCATGTTCTCTTTATGCTATTCAAGGTACCAAAGAACTAAGACTGCAAAATTTTTGCATGGGCAAATTATTGGGAGTCTAAATATAAGTAAACCGCTCAGCCAAATGCGTGGCTTTGGGACTGCTGCTTTACATGCAGATTCCACAACCGCCCTAAGTACCATCCCTATGTTTCTCAACTGTATAGCTCTTGTGGTTTAGGAATGGTATTCCTCAGTTCAGTGCACCCACTGAGACTCTCCCAAACAACGCTGCCACTCTTTCACTCCCCTTTCCTCTCCCCTTCCCACCGCAGCAGGATGGAGTTGAGAATTGGAGGCACAAGAGGCGAAGATCACAGGTTGAAATAAGAACAATTTACTGGAAACATCACTGAGATAAGAAAACCAACAGTAACAGCAAAAATATTAATACCAAAATTATACAAAAGAGTGATTCACAAGCAAAAATGCTCACCGCGGACCCAAAGACAGAGACCCCTTCTTCTTGGAAGCCAGAGAGTCTCTTACCCCTGCCCCAGCAATGGTATGAGGTGGTATAGAATAACCTCCTAGCCACGCCCATATAGATCCAGGCTTTGTTCCCCCACAGCTCCTGCAAAAAATAAAGTCTGTCCTGGCCAGAACCAGGACAGTAGCAAGTTTTTTTCCTATACCTAGTCAGAACTTTCTTCTTGCATAGAATCATAGAATCGTAGAATCAGCTGGGTTGGAAGGGACTTCCGAGATCATCAAGTCCAACCCCTGATCCACTACTGCTGCAGTTACTAGACCATGGCACTAAGTGCCACATCCAGTCTCTTTTTAAAAATCTCCAGGGATGGAGAATCCACTACTTCCCTGGGCAGCCCATTCCAATGTCTGATTACCCTCTCTGTAAAGAAATTCTTTCTAATATCTAACCTAAACCTCCCCTGGAACAACTTGAGACCATGCCCTCTTGTCTTGCTGATAGCTGCCTGGGAGAAGAGACCAACCCCCACCTGGCTACAACCTTCTTTCAGGGAGTTGTAGAGAGTGATGAGACTCCCCTGAGCCTCCTCTTCTCCAGGCTGAACAGCTCCAGCTCCCTCAGCCTCTCCTCATAGGACTTGTGCTTGAGTCCCTTCACCAGCCTAGTTGCTCTTCTCTGGACCTGCTCCAGGACCTCCATGTCCTTCCTGAACTGAGGGGCCCAGAACTGGACACAGTACTCAAGGTGTGGCCTCACCAGCGCTGAGTACAGGGGAAGAATCACTTCCTTGGACCTGCTGGCCACGCTGTTCCTGATACAGGCCAGGATGCCATTGGCCTTCTTGGCCACCTGGGCACACTGCTGGCTCATGTTTAGCTTCTTGTCAATCCAAACTCCCAGGTCCCTCTCTGTCTGGCTGATCTTGTGATCATTTCCATTGGCCTTTTGCTGTATACGTGTAAGAGACTGGCTGTGTCTTCTTTACACTTTTGAGTTATGAAGATCAAAATAGTATCTTTCCAAAACCTTCTCTTACCCAAGAACTAAGTTCCTTCAGCATTTGTTAGTTTACCGTGTGCTTCATCCCCATACCAGCTTTGTAACACTTGACTGGACTTACACAAGTATGTCTACATATTTTTTGCACTGGGGAGTCCAGAACTGAATACACGTAGACCCTCACACTTGCTTAATAAAGGATATCACTTCCCTAAGAATCCTGGCTAGCACCCTTGCTAAAGTAGCCCAGGAGGTGGAGGGTTAATTTGTCACAAAGGTGCAGTGCTAGTTCCTTTTTAGTTCTTGTTAACCAGGACACCCAGAATTTTCTCTGTCAAGCTGCATTCCAGCTGATGAACTCCAAGTCTGTACTGAAGGGCATTTATTAATCTACAGGTGCATGGCTTGGCATTTCCCTTTGTATAATTTCACAAGGAACCCACTTGCCAGTTTCTCGAGCTTTTCCACACTCCTATAAATGGTTATTCAACCCTGCCTTCCAGCATATTAACCATCCTCCAAACTGGTGTTGACATCGCATTTGATGTTGACCAGAAACTTGCTTAGAGTGCACTATTTGTTGTCACAGATGTTACACAAAACATTGAACAGTAGTTACAGTCCTCTATCCACTGTAGATTTCAACAATTTCATTTTAAGAGACTATGACAAAGGTCTTACATGTAAATGAGATCCAGTTCTCTCCCTTTTAACACTCAAACTAGTGATCTCATCCCAGAAGGCAATGGGTTCAGATAAGTATAATTTGTCCTTGGTATATCCCTACTAGCTTCTTCCCCTTGGTTTTGATGTCTTTAAAATGTTTTTCAGGAGAATTTGCTCCAAAATTTTCTTGAGGCCTGTGTGAGATACTAGATTTGTATATCACTGGACCGTTTGACTGTTGGGTCGAATCAAACATCTTGTTTGTGTGTGTGTGTGGAGGGAGGGGGTTCAGGCCTCAAGCATCTGTGTCCACATGGTAAGGCCCACGGCCAACCAGGCCTCCAGGATTGGAAGGCACATGGCACGGGAACCACACAAGGCACCTGTCAATCTAAAGGTCTGCCTGGTAGCCCGCCCACATTATCCACTGTCCCCTGGAGCCTCTGATTGGCTCCAGCACCTCCCACTCCAGCTAGGAGGGCACTGAGTGGTCAGTGAACCAAATGTCCCACCTGGGGGGAGTGGCCACAGAGCCAAACCATATAAACAGACACACAGGGCCTCCATCTTGTTCAGCCCTCTTTCCTGGAAGCTGACAACAATGGTTGGCACCTTTTAGTGGTAACTATTTGTCTCTCTTCTCTCTTTCTTCACTCCTTTCTTCTTCTCTCTTTTCTTCCTTTACTCTTTTCTTCCTCTTGTGGGTAACTTAACACCGATGAGTGATATTTCACTAAGTTGTATGGGGTTGACGTTTGGTGGTGCTCTAGTGTAATGCTTTTCCTTGGTTATACATTATTCCTGTAAACCCTTTTTACAAAACACTTATTTTCTCACTAAATTAAATCTCTTGGGAAATGCTTGTAGCATGTTGTCTTTTTGCTATTCAAGGTATCAAAGAACCAAAGGTTTGGCAAGAGTCTTAGAGTCTTAAATAAAAGTAAAACTCCTGGCAAAGTTTGAGGCTTCAGGATTGGGGCTTTACAGCCTGGTGTGAGGCTGAATAACCTGTAGCTCTATGGATCTTCCTTCTTATTTCTGAAGATGGCTATGACATTAGCATTCTTCCTATTATCAAGAATTACCTACCAATCAGCTTATACACCAAAATATCTGAGTATTAAAAACTTAAGTGTCATTAGAAAATCTGTGTTCCTGATATTCTGATCCAGACAAATATTTGGTCATAACTGTACTCAGAATAAGTTTTGACTGCTTATTCTCTCCAGGAAACCCCATCTGAAACGTTGTGTTCAACTTTTCCACTGCTTCAGATAGCACTTTTTTCACTCTAAAGCAATTTGAAGGGACAAATAACTTCAGTCAAACAACACTGTTACCTACTGGTTTAACGATTAATATGATCTCATTGGATGAATTCTTGGACTTTGCACATTATACTTATCAGCTTTAAAAATGGCAATAACATGGGGCAGCACAAAAACAGATTCTTGAAAAAAAATATTTTATTAAAACAAATAAAATGTTTATAATCAAAATGCTTCCAAATAGACATCTATGCATTGTTTTACTTCCATGTCAATTAAACAGTTCAGAAACTTGCTCTTCTCAACTGTTTACTTTATATTTCCATGATAAAAACAACCTGAAGGAAAAACAAACTATATAGTTGCCTTGGGTCCCTTACTGAGAAAATTGACAGAAACCTAATTCCAGCAAAAAGGAAGCAACAAACTGAAATTTTGCTCCTCAAAAACTACACCTTCTTGCAATTAGTTTCTTTCCCACCTGAACTTGAAGGTTTTTGTTGTTGGATCTGAGATCTGTTACTCAGTAACCAAAAAGATCCTTCAGTTTATCTTCAGCTCTTGTTTTCAGCAGCTCTCCATGTCTGTGGAGATCTTTATTGAGTGAAGGTAGTTTGCTATCCCTAATGGAATTTTCCATATAGTGCTTTTTGATGTTTAGACCAGATGAGTGATTGTTTTTTCTCCCTTTGTGGTCTATTTTCTATTCAGTTTTAACTCTTCTATTAATAGGTCATTTACTTCCTTCTTTTTCCCTTGCTGAAATTGTTCAGCAGATGCCAGATTTCTCAGAAGTACCAGCCAGACTTTCCTAAGGGGCTTCACTACCACATTATAATATTATCACACTACAATATAACAACCATTAGCACAGTATGCCCAAGTAATATAATTTTTGATAGTTTCAAATATATAAGAAAACTTTAACACTCCTGGAATAGAAAATATTTCTCTAAACAAGTTACTCATTTAATAAGGAATAGATATTGCTGAAATTAAACTTCTAGAACACTGAATTGAACAACGATGCAAACTTAGTAAAAAAGATTTAACAACAGCTAATATGTTGTGTTTAGCTAACATATATTAAGATGAACTTCATTTCCCATCTCATCCATGAAGTTTCATTCCAACTGCAGTTTGCGTCATGTAAAATGTAAGATAGAGATTAAATGAATAAACTGGTGAAGTAACTTCCCGTAATTCTGCTAAAAATGACTAATAACTAAAGAACACAAGTTTAATTAAAAATAGTCTGCAAAAAAAAGTATAAAATAGCTATAACAAGATAAAAAATTAAACAGAAGGCTGTCTTTTTTTCTATCTTTTCTGAGTAATGAAGTTTCTAAGTTGTGCCTAATTGATACAGTTTAGAGCAAATATACTAGAAAATCATAAACTAAAGTTTAACATCTGCTTCCTTTCTTTAAATAGACGAATGCTTCAACCTTCCTGACTCCCACAGTGGCGTGATCCCGAATGGACTTTCTCAGTTAGAATCGACAGTTATATCCTACAACTGGATGCATTTTTTCATTAAATACTTTTTTGTCATCCTTATTTTGCAATAATTAAGATTTGTTGACTTTCTGGACATGATGCAAAGTTTGCAGTTTAGAAAGGATGCCAAGAAAAAAGAAACTGCCTAAAGGGTGGTGTGAAGTGTGATTTTTTCTTATTGATACTATGGCACTTTTCTTACACTGGTTTAAGTTACTCTTTTTTGTTGGTTTTTAATAGGCTATTTTTTCTTATTTAAACAGATATTTAAACATATGCAAAGAAATGCTCAAAAATAGTAACAATATAACTATCACATTTGTTTATAACCTTAACATATGTTCAACAAACAGAATGGTTCTTCAAGTCATTAGAAAACTTGCAATGAAAAACCAAAAAGTATTTTGGAAATGATGAACATGTGTAAACTTAAGGTAGAAAACACTCAAGGTATTTCAGACTCTTATTCAGAGAAGAGCCAATATCTTAAAATAAACTAAGTCTCATTAAAATGATCCACGTATACATATAACTGTTGGTTCAATAACACTGGTGTTTTCCATAAATAAAAAATAAACAAACATCATGAAGTACAACGAAGAGACACACAAAGGCTTTCCCCTGAGTAGGAACAACCCTAGCAAATGTATACAAATACCTCCAGGGAAGGTGTAAAGAAAACAAAAGCTAGGCTGTTTTCAGTGGTGCTTAGTGACCTGACAAGAGGTAATGAATCTGAAACACAGGAGGGTCCGTCTGAACATCGGAAAACTCTTCGTTACAGTGAGGGAGACTGAGCATCAGCACAGGTTGCTCAGAGATCTTGTGTAGTCTCCATCCTTGAAGGTACTCAAAATCCACCTGGACATGATCCTGGGTAAAAGGCTCTAGGTGACTCTATTTGAGCAGGGGGACCTCAGAGGTTCCTTCCAACCTCAACTGTTCTGGGATTATGTGATTCTGTTAAAGAGACAAAAGTCTCTTCTGCTTTCCCTGATTTGAATTTTTGTCATATGGATTTTCATATTCTCTGGACAGAAGTTTTAAGATGACCTCAGTAAAGATTGCAATGCATATTTGGAAATTCTTTCCCTGTTTTACGGTGAATTTTAATTTAAGTAATCTGAAAGTCATAAGCGAAAACTGGCTTTCAATTCCTGTAGTGTTGCTAAGGGTGAAAGCAAATGTACTTCCCCAGCAATGCAAAGGCTCGGGGAGCCCTGTGCTAAACAGTTCAACATGGACAAACCCTCAGTTTCTGAATCACATTCAGGTTTCTTGCCAGTTGAAATTCTCAAATCTATAGATGATTGTATGTGATAGAGGGGGCAGGGGGAGGCACAGACAGAGAGACACAGAGAGAAACACAGACAGAGAAAGACAAGAAGAAGGACATGAAGAGAGACAGAGAGAAAAGGATTAGATATTATTAACACATAACTGTAAACAGAGTGCGTTAGACTATAAAGAATGGCATTTGGGCTACTTCTTGAATATGGCTGTGGTGTTATGAGTTATGTTCAAGGTTGCTCAAAAGATAATGAATTTGCTAAGAATATTTTTTTTAATGTGTTTAACTCCTCTACTTCAATAATAAGCTTTTTATTTAACACTCATTAATATTTTCAATATTTTTCCTTAGAGCATAAAATAATTTCTATTAAAAGTAAATAAATTATTTTTACACGTAAATTCATTCAACACCTGTAAATAAACTAAAACACACCCCTCAATGGTGATTTTCTTTTTTTTTTTTTAAACAAACAAACAAAAAAAGTCCCAAGAAAAAAGGATCTGGTACTGCTTGAAGTGTAGATCTCCTTTTGTGGATGTTGTTGACAATTCACTGTATCATGATGTTGTTGACAGTGTGTTATATCATCAGCTGCCTCAAATTATTAACCCCTCTCAGAAACAAAGCATGAATTGAACATTGAACATTTCAAGTGTGCGCAATGCCAATCAGTGTTACAGAAAGACAAAGACATTTCAACTTGGCCTTTTTTGCAACGTGAAAATTATAGTTTTGGCACAGCAACTTGATGTGAAAACTGTGATTAAGTCTTTCAGGATATTCGGTAGATGTATCATTACTGTGTAATAGTATTTTTAGAACTAACAGACTTATCTATACAAATATACTAACAAATGCACCCAAATCCACTACTAAAGTATTAATATCACTGGAAGCAATAAAAAGAAAATTCTATTAGCATTTTCTTTTGGAATGCTAGTAATGACTATAACTTTTTTCATAATTCTAAACAGGAATTTACCACATTCTGTATTTAATATTGCTGGGTTTTTATTTTTAAAATTCTTGTAAACGCTATATTTTCATGGATTAATATAATTCGTATTACTTTAATAACTTATATTGTTGACAAAGTATAATTTGTTAGTTATTCCTTTTGTGCAGCACTTTCACTGTTAATATTCCTCAGGAAAAAAAAATTAAAATACCCATATCAGTTCATAGGGCTGCAGCTACATCTATGCTTACTGTCAAAACATAAGAAAAGCCTTGTAAGAGAAAAGAAAAAGAACAGTGGCTGATAGAATAAAGCAAGTGTTTTATAAACTAGATTTTAAAGATAAAATTTTTGCATATTTGCAGTTGATCTTAATGTTAAAAGAATGTATCCTTTAAATTAAAAGGCACAGCAGCACTCATTCATTAGAAAAATACAAAAAGAACACAGAATCATGCTCCTAAAGGAAGTAACACAAAAAGCTAGGAATAACAGCTATAAATGCAGCTTACATTCATTGAATCCTAATTATAACAGCACTTTTCACTCTGCTATTTGAATATTCAGAGCTATTATTAATTTGCCAGGAGCAGTTTTCATTTTCCACATATCTTGAGGACTCGAATTATTCTAGATACATTTTTAGAGTTTTAAAACATTTACACTCTGAATATACAATTTTACTTATTCATGGAGTTGAAGACATTTGTTAATGACATCTTCTAAAGGAGAAAAGGAGAGACGATTAAGTAATAGAGTTGTTTTCCATTCAAATTATGAAACAAAGTAGAATATGGTGCACTGTCTATTTTATACAGCTTCCATAATACAATATGTGAGAAGTGCATATTAACGGTATGCTTGAAAGTTTTCAAGTTTTTACCATACATTATTACTAGTAATACAAACTCACATTCAGATATAGATAATATATAATTAATAGTTATAGTAGTTATATCTTCAGAACCCTGTTTAATCACTGAATAATTAATACCTACAGCGTATGTCAGCAAAACTCTGCGCTATTGTAGGTCAAATGTGTTCATGGAATAAAAAAAAAAAATCCCAGATTTAGGAATTTAAAATATCAGTCTCCCATACCAACATGCATTTTGCCTTTCATTAAAGACAAACACCGAATCAAAGCAAGCCCATGGCTAGCCCACACCTCTAGAGATCACCGAGAGGAGGTTCAGATACAGAAGATTGCCCAGATGAGTTTAGATAACTCCAGTGACAGATAATTATCAGCCTTTCTAGGCAAGTTATTCCAGCCTTTGACCACCACTACTGTAAAAAAAAAAACAAAACAACAAAAACAAAACCCAAACCCAGAACCAACCAACCAAACAAAAAACCCACCCCATTGTTACTTCTCATATTTAAACAGAACTTCCTGTGATTCAGGAAATTCCTGTGCCCTCAGCCCTCATGGTGCATCTTATCATGTCTCAGTGACTTTGGTGCAGCCAGTGACTTTGGACCATCCCTAACCTGGTCCTCTTCCACCAAGTCTTCCTTGATTCAGATTTTCCCATGGGTCTTAGGCACCTGGGATTATTGAAAACAAGTCTTACCCATGAAGATAGAGATGAAGAAGACACTCACTACTTCAGCCTTTTCTAAGACCTTTGTCACCAGGTCCTGCTCCTATTCTTCCTTTTGCTGCTGTTGAACCTGTAGGTATAACTACATTTTCTCATTTTATCAGCTGGAAAAGGGAGACCTACTCAGAGATGTAATCAAGGTCACAGAGAAAATTAGAACTTAGTTCTAGTGATTCCAAGAACTGTTCTTGGGGCTCATAGTCAACACTGCTGTTTCTCCAAACAAAATCTTAATTTAATGTGCATAATGAATGAAAAAAAAAGGCCAAAACCAAAGAAGTGGTTTTCAAGTCCTTAATGCCAGCAGAGCCTGTACAAATGAAACATCAGTCATCAAAGCAAACAAAGCCAATCTGAATGCACTCTTTTCTGCAACTCAAAAAAAGATTTTTTCCCCTTTCTTTAAATCTTTTAAGCAGACTTAACCAGATTCACAGCCTGAAATGAAAACAGATACTGTCTTCTAAATGTTTTCCTTATTCTGTTCACCATTGTCCTTTTAGTTTGCTTACACTGGAAATCAAAATGTTGAATGTTGTAAGAAAGTTTCTTAGTAAGTACATTTTGTGTGCTACATCTATTTGCCAAAACAGAAACCAGCCACAGTGGGTGGTGATCTTTTAAAGCAGAAAGGGAAAAGGTCACTTAAGGCTTTATTCTGTAAGGTGTTATGTCGCTAAGCACATGCTTTAAAGCTTTGCTGCATAAGTGACACTTTGCTCAGCACCTTGCAGAGCTGATGCTTAGCAAGGCAATAATAATGATTTACTGGTGCTATAATTTTGAAGTATTCAAGAAAAAGACTATATTTTTGAGAATTAAAACTCCTTGTAGCTGGAATTCAATCAAGTACAGGAATTTATTACAAAGCCCTTCAATTACCTAATTTTCATCTGGAATATATTTGAGAATGCGGCAACTCATTGAAAAAGAGGGTCCAGGAGCCCTAGTTATGGTTTTAACATCTCCACCTACCTACCTACCAGTATGTGGGTCATTTCTGCAAAAGGGTTGTATTTGCCATAGATCTGAATTTTGCCTTCCCAAAACCATTACGTTTTGTCCATTTAAAGTCTTAGTGATAATATAACATTTAAGAAGTTTTGCTGTGCATTTTTTTTCTGAAATACTGTTATTTATTGTCATATTTATTTATATAGACTGTTATTTCTCGCCAAAGGATATCCATATCACAGACTAAAAACCAACTTA